CATCCCAGTTGTGCCGATGTCTCACCACAAGAGGCAGAATGCCTGAAATCTTCAAGCAGGAAAGTCCGCTATTTTTGCGAAAAATGTACCTAATATTGTAGACGTTGTTTCGAACCTGCAGCAGGAAATCAGTGAGTTAAAAAAGCAAATCACCGAATTGAAAAACTCAGCTGGAGGACGCTCCGATGATAATACCGCGCTCATTAATCCTGATAAGCAGTCAAATGATGAAGATCTAATCAATGAAATATTCGATCGTCAACAAAGAGCCAACAACCTTATTATTTACAACCTTCCGGAATCCAATGTTAATGATGGTAATGAAGAAATTAGCGACACAGAAAAACTTCTATCTTTAGTCGGAAATCACATAATCAATGAGACTTCAATATCTAAGTGTGTTCGTTTGGGGAAAGATGCCAGTAAAATAAGACCTTTACTGTTAAGACTCAGAACTCCTGACGACGTATTTAAGGTACTCAAAATGTATCGGACGCGTAATAATGTATATATTAATAGAGACCTTACAGTGCGCCAAAGAAATTTTGCTTTTAACATCAGGAAAGAATTTAAGAACCGAAAAGAAGCTGGAGAATTAGATATAAAAATAAAGTACACAAACGGTATTCCTAAAATTATTAAAATAAACGAGGCGAGAAAAAACTAAATTTTACCCAACGGTCAAATCATATTTTCAAATTTAATGCAGTATACCAGAACGTACGCGGGCTGAATAGCAAAACTAATGAATTTTACTTAAATGTTCTTAGCATCGATCCTGATTTTATATTTCTTACTGAGACATGGCTTGATGACAATGTATCTTCTAGTGAGTACTTTACAGATAAGTACAATGTCTATAGATCGTCCAATGGGCGAAAAGGTCGTGGTACATTGATTGCAGTAAATCACAAATATGCTGTAGACACAATAATGTGTGAATCTCCGTACCCTGAAATTGATTTATTGATAGTTAAAGTAATAATATGTGGAGTTCATATCTTGATCATTAATCTCTACTTTCCACCTTCAACAAGAGCGGATTTGTATGAAGAGATATTCGAATTTTTAGAAACATCCTACATCTTGACTAACAATTGCATTATCATTGGAGATTTTAATATTCCAGAATTTCAGGCTTGCCTTGATAGAAATCAACAACTTACAACTATTTTCACTAGTTTTATGTCCATTCTAAACTATTTCAATCTGAAACAAAGCAACCGCATACTAAATAATAACTCAAGAATTCTGGATCTTGTTCTTTGCTCTGAGAATATTACATGTTTGGTTTCTCGAAATAATTTACCTCTTGTTAAAGAAGACGGCCATCATCCATCTTTAAATATGTTATTCTCATTTTCTCTTAACTTTTTTGAGAGTGTAGTGCCTGAAACCAGTACTCCGACATATAATTTCAGAAGAGGTGACTTACCAAATTTGTATCAAGCAATTAATAATTGGAACTGGAATGACGTCCTTCTTCTTCAAAGCACCGAGCAGGTATGCAGGGGTATAAATGATACTGTTCTTCAACTATTTGATATTTATGTTCCGAAAAGCCAAAAATCAAACAAGAAATACCCTATTTGGTTTACACCAGAGATTATCAGTTTGTTAATTAAAAAACAACACCATTGGAAACTATTTAAAAAATGCGGTCTGTTACATCATAAAGATACAACAAAGAAACTGAGTAGCGAGTTACGGTCGTTAATACGACGTGAATTTAATCTATTTGTTACACGTTCTCAGATTGATATGAAAACAAATCCATCAAAATTTTGGGCATATGTCAATTCTAAACAGCAAACATCAAGAATCCCAGGGCAAATGAAGCTCCACGACAACGTTTTATCGGGCCCACAGTCTATTGTCGATGGTTTTGCACAACACTTTTCTAGCGTTTTCTGTGATTCTTCTACAGCTCCTCTATCAGGTGATTCCAAATGCTGTGATATGTCCAATTGCGATAATTCTGTCTGTGATATGTGTAACTGTGATATGTTGATATGTGACAAAATTCTTGGTAGTGATTTTAATATACCAGTGCTACACATATTTCATATCACGGAAAATGACATTATTGAAGCTAGTCGGAAGATAAGACCTAACTTAACGATGGGTATTGACAACATTCCTGCTTTCTTTGTTCGTGACTGTATTTCATGTTTAGCAAAACCTTTGTGTTATTTATTCAATCTAATTGTTGAGTCGGCGGTTTTTCCATCTGTTTGGAAGACAGCGAAGGTCTGTCCAATATTTAAATCAGGATCAAATAAAGATGTTACTAATTACAGACCGATAGCTATCATACCTAATTTCGCAAAACTGTTTGAGACCATATTATCTAAGATTATTTATAGTCATGTTATACATCAAATATCCGACTTTCAACATGGATTTGTTCAAGGTAAATCAACCAGTACTAATCTTTGTGAATTTATACATTTTGTTTCATCCTCTTTAGACCTAAGATTGCAAATTGATACTGTTTATACAGATTTGTCAAAAGCATTTGATAAGGTAAATCACAGGATTATGTTACACAAATTAAAATCTTTTGGCTTATGTAATAATTTAGTGTCTTTGGTTAGATCTATACTTGCTGATCAAAAACAGTTTGTAGAATATAGTGGTCACAAATCTTTTGTTTACGATTGTCCATCCGGAGTGGTGCAAGGCTCAAATTTAGGTCCCCTATTATTTGTCATATTTATAAACGATATTGTTAAAAGTGTAAGTCCCGACTGTAAAATCTTATTATATGCAGATGATCTTAAAATAGTCAAAGTCGTGGATAACATAAAAGATTGTTTAATTTTACAACGTAACATAGATAGTGTTGTCGATTGGTGTAATGTTAATAGGTTGTTTATGAACAGAGACAAATGCCGAATTATGACTTATAGCCGCAAGAATTGTAATATTTCTTTTGATTACAATATGCTAAATGGTTCTTTAAAAAGATGTACGGAGTTTAAAGATTTAGGTGTCATTATGGATACAACTTTGTCTTTTGTACCTCATGTACATTATATTATTAATAAGGCCATGCGTACGTTGGGTTTTATTGTAAGAAATTCTCGTGAATTTAGTAACATTAACTGCATTATGCAACTCTATAACTCATATGTAAGATCCGTCTTAGAATACAACTCAGTTGTCTGGAGTCCTTATTATATTGTCCACATAACATCTTTAGAACGAGTACAACGAAAGTTTTCTAAATATCTTTATTTTAAGAAATATGGTACATATCCAACACTACATTATCCTCATGATATACTTTTGCGGCAATTAAACTTAGTACCACTATCTGCAAGAAGAGACTATTATTTACTTATGTTTTTATTCAAAATTTTTCATAATGTTATACAAGATAGCGCTTTACTAGAATACATACATATATTAGTGCCCAGATCAAATAATGTAAGACAACCTATGCTTTTCCATTGTAATATAGTTAAATCAAATCAACATTTTTACTCTCCATTAGTTCACATGCAACGGTTATATAATAAGTATAGACAGTCTCTGGATTTGTTCGGTATGACATTGCATCAATTCTCTGATAAATGTAAATTTTTGTTCTTTAATTTTTAGTTTGTTGATCCGTTGTAAGATTTTATTTCTTTATTCATTTTAATGTTTATGTCTACTCTTAAAGTATCTGTACTATATTACTATTTATGTGATTATGTAGCTAGAAACACATGTACTATTTTTTCCTAGATGGGCTTCTGCCCGTTGGATAATACATTACTTATTATTATTATTATTATTATAAAATCACACCATTGTTGGTGTTCTCTTTTACCCAGGTGGGGCGAGTCCTCGTTATGGTATAAATAAGCGCCTAGTTGTAGTTTAACTTGAGTTTAGCTTTGTCTACATAATGCCAAACTGGTTAGCGAAACACGTCGACAAATATTCTGTCTTTTAGATGTTTTGGGTCGTGGGGATAAACGTTATACTATAATAGCGCACCCAATGATCAAAAAGTACAATAGTATGTTAAATTATAAGTGAAAGGAATGCTATATTATAAGCGAGTGGTACTGCTCTCACGAACTTATAATATCATTTCGCTCACGTACAATATACGAAGTTTTATCTTACAGAAGCAGCTATTTCATAAAAGTAAGAATTAGGTGAATCCAAATTGACAGCTCATTTAACCTAAAAAATCGTATTGTCATTAGAAGTATTAGTAGTATCCATAGTTACATTAGCATTACATAACATCACTTGTTAATAATACTGAATTTGTGTCTCGCAAAACGGTTGTATAATCTTCCCAAAACCTACTACTTAAAGATAAAATTATTTGATTCACTCATTATTAGTTTTTTAACACATGTATTTAACCAATGTTTTAAATTTCAAAACAATTCTCGTAAATTCTAACACGAACTTTAAAATTGCTCTTGCAAAATTTATTTTCTTTTATGACCACCCATAGGTACTACATATTAAAAATTTGATCCATTATTAAACCATAAGTACAAAATTAGCGTTTTACTGTATTCACGAAAATTTTAAAGCTTGTCCAAAATTTCGTTATGCAGTTTTGATTATTTTCGTAATTATCTATATTGATAGCGTTAAAAATAGGAGTGTAAATATTTGACAAATCACACCTTTAGTAAACATTTGCCGTCCACATTTTAATTAGGATTTATTTAGCAAAATTTTCACACGTCGTCACCAAATTTTTGATGGGGATGATCACATAAATTTACCCCAAATTCTTAAAATTTCACAAACATCTGTCTAATAAAGTCGGCAACGAAACTGGCGACCAACTTTACCATATTCTAGGATGTTAATACGCCACTTTCGGGAAGCAGGAAAAGTTAACGAAAACAGAAAAATTCAGAGAGAAACACTCCACGGAAATTAATTGAAATTACTAGGGCACCGGCGCAGTCGAATCTACTTCACGCAGTATCGAGTACCACACAGCGTGATTTTGGACCGGCTGGAGATTTAAAATACATTTCGTTCACTTACTTCACGTTGCACAATGTAGCTTGTTATTGCGTAACCTTCCACATAAATATAAATACACGTGCTCGAAATTTTACTTGGTGAAGTTTTTCTGTGTAACTTGTGTCTTACAGAAATAACAGGAATTCAGTATTCTTGTGATACTTTCAAAAATTTTTGCGAAAAATATTAGGTAAGGACCATAAAGTGACCAAAAAGCAAAGACCGTTGAAAAAATTTAAAAAGATAAGCGCCTGGGGTAAATATTGTAAAACTCAAACAGAGGGTTGGTGAAGTGAAAAAAATGATATGTATATATTTTTTAACAAATTACTAAAATATAGTCTCAAATAAGCGGAGAATCATTTCAAAAATATTTTCAGATACGGTTCTGGACCTTCGTCGATATAGGTACTGCTCGTTCATAGATAAGGTAAGACCCAATTAAACTTATATTATTATCTATATTCATATAACATTCGTCCTTGACAATTTTTGTTCAGAGTTGTTATCAACTAATTAAAATATACTTTCTGCTAGGTAGTTAGAGAACTGCGTTTCATAACTGAAAGTTAAATTACGACTTACCTGTATGTTTACTAATATAAATAATTGTGCTTAGTTATCCAGTCTGTAATCTGCCTCTAAATAAAAATTTGTCATATAAAACAGATAATCTTATTAATTCTAGGTGAATCGTCTAGTGTGGACCCAAATCAACAAATTTCAATAACAGCACACTGTTTAGAAACTACAGTCATCAGTTCACTGTCAAGGCCACCGTTACATCATTCATAAAACCGTTAAAAATGGTACTTTCACTAGATCGATGGGTCGGAAAAGTCGCCGTAGTGACAGGAGCAAGTTCTGGAATAGGTGCAGCCATTGCAGACTTCCTGGTTGACAAAGGACTAATAGACAGTACTCAACCCCTAATTACAACAAATTAATTCTCCTTTTTCAGGTCGCTGGTTTAGCTCGTCGTTCTGAACGCGTAGAGAAAAAAGCTAAAGAGCTGTCTGGCAAAAAAGGGAAACTCCATGCTATTAAAACTGACATCACCAAAGAAGAAGACATACTGAATGCCTTCAAATGGATCGAAGAAAATTTGGGCCACGTTCATATTCTCATCAACAATGCTGGTGTTTCGAAGGAGGATTTTTTAAGAAATGGAGATGCAGCGATTTGGAAACAAGTTTTGTATGTGAATGTCATGGGTTTGTGTATTGCTACTCGGGAGGCTGTAAAGATAATGTCTGCTAATAACATCAAGGGGCATATTATTCACATCAATAGTGTGGCTGGGCATAAAGTGCTGAATTATCCCGGGATGAATCTTTATACTGCTAGTAAATATGCTGTGACCGCTTTGACTGAGACCCTGAGACATGAGTTGAATGCTATTGATTCTAAAATTAAAACGACTGTAAGTTTTGATTGTTTGGTTCGTTGTTTTTTTTTTTCTATGTTTTTATTTGTAGAGTCTCAGTCCTGGGTTAGTCACTAGTGAAACGACAACTCTTAATCCTGAGCTTAGTGAGGAGCGTAAAAAGTTGCGCGTCACTTTGCCGATACTAGATCTAGAGGATGTTGCTGAGGCTGTAGGATATCTCTTATCCACTTCTGAAAATGTTCAGGTATTAGGTGTAAATTTTCATATAGTTTTCTGAAATTTTCTGTTTCAGATTAATGAGTTAACTATCACTCCAGTTGGCGAGAAATTTTAAATTCACATCCATTGCCTATTTCCTGTTATTTGTTCCAATGCATTTACAATTGCTCTTATTCTTAATAAAACTGAGTAATATTTTTTTTCAAACAATTAAAAAGAGTATTGTTTACTAAAATCTGAACAATAAAGTTTTAGTGCTCACAATAGCCATTCGTACAATAAAACAGGATAAGCAATGGTTTTGCGTATTAAGTGTGCTATTTTTCACCGAAACGAAGTTTAGGTTAGAAACACGCCGTGTACAGAAAAAGCTTTTCCAAACATGTTGCGCACATGATTTTTTCAAGTTTAAAGTATAATCAGTCGAATAAAAAACAGCTGAAAGACAACAAACTACGTAGCATGGTGACGCATTATGGCAGCAGCGCGAAGGGCGTCTTGTCGTGAATGTCTACTTGTCCCAACCACAACTTCAACACTCTACGTGCGTTTTAAGTAATCGCATTCCTGAGGGTTCTAGGTACTCCGCGTCGTTATCCCGTGCTTCTGAAATCTCCCAAATTTTGACGGTAGTAAAATAAGTGTTACAATTATAACAAGCAAAATTAAATTATGCCACACTCTATCAAGAATTTCAAACAAAGAATTTACATGATATTAAAATATGTATTAATTCAAATTACTGATTTGAGCCAACAAATCTTACATAATAAGCAATATTCAGTACGATTAAAATCATTTTCTCAAATACTTACTTGAGAACAGATGTTCAAATTGAGTCAGTAGGAAAGTATTAAAACCCCCCCGGTTTTCGAGTCCACGACAATATGAATTTAATTGATGAAAGATGAGTTTAAATGTCATCATTAAATGTCGAGTGAGTACTAGTGAAGTATGTTATAATATAAGAACTTAAATAAAAACATTCTGAACTTTTAGACATTTTGCTGTAGAAGTAACATAAATAGTTAAAAATCTTGATATGAACTTTGAATTTACAAACAAAAGAAACAAAAATAACACGTGTTGACGAATTCGTCGAAGATTCATAACATTTCAGATTAGAAAATCGATAATTAACTGATCTTACACCAACTACACTCTGCGAGTAGGAGGATAGTGGTGTCAAATGCGATCCATTTTTGTTTAATCAATTGCCCGTTTATGTATAATTACTAGAGTCCGGAATTTACGAAATTTGCATTCTGATGACTGTTCATACTACAACTAAATGCTTTCGGATCTAGGCGAATTAGGTAAATACGAATTGATTGATTATTTTCACATATTTTGACAATTTTTAGATTTTCAAAGCATAGCGCGCACTTTTTATTGCAAGTGTCAGCGTTTTTAACTTCTAAAGGTCGAAATCTACAAGATAATATCTTTGGTTAAATTTCGAAAATTGTCAAAAACAATTGAAAATTTCAAAATGGGATGTATTGAAAAATTGAGTTTTTGAAAAAGTTGCTTAAAAAATCTCAAACAATTCTGAGGTGTACATTTTGACATGCCAATTGGAAAAATGTAGCGTCTTTATCATTCTTGAACGAGATTTTAGAAATATCCGGTTTGAAATTTATTTTTTTTTTAATAATCCTAAAAGTTGCCACATTTCAATTGGTGATTCTGAAAAAATGGTGGGAGTTACATTTGCCAACCTCGGTATTATTTTAGCAGGTACTAGCCCCGCCCACCCTCCCTCTTTTTTCTTAGAGGTATCTCATTTGCCAATATCCGTTTTATCTTAGCAGGTACTAGCCCCGCTCATCCACCCTCTCTTTTTTTCGAGGGTATGTCATTTGTTAAAATCGATCGTATTTTAGCAGGTACTAACCCCGCCCACCCACCTTCTATTGTATTAGAGGGATCACATTTGGCAAAAGCAGTCTTATCTTAACAGCTACTAAGTTTAACTTTTTCCTGCAGAGTTCTATCTTAGTAGATACTAACCCCGCCCACCGGCGCTGTTCTCATTCTAACGATTTTATTTCTGTTGAATATAATATAATTCCAAACACGCATTAAAAAGCAAAGGAAAAAGTAGCACAACTTATAAATAAAAAGTTTAAGGAAGTACTAGAAAAGAATCAAGGATATATTTTGTTATCAAAGGTAGCTAAAATATATAATGGAGATTCTAGTAGTGCGTTAGTTAACATGGAACCACATTTAATCAGCGCTCTTAAGTATGCAGAGAGGAGTTTCTCTACCTATAAACAAATTCTTTCTGATAGGCGACGTAATTTTTTAATTGAAAACCTTGAAAAACATAGTTATAGTTGCAAGTTATCACATTAATGCTGTGGCGACACAATAATAAATAATAGTAAACGAAGAAAGATAAGCAGTCTCATGGTCTAGTGGTCGGGATACCTGCCCGCGCAAGCGGGAAGCGTGGGGTTCGATTCCCACCGAGGCAGAGCAACATTTTTCTTCGTTTACCTACAATGCAGACATTTAAGTGTTTTTTGATGTATCATTGTACTCGTTTTTTTTTTACAAATATCTGTTATTTAGTTGTCTTTTTTCTTGTAAAATAAAATTTTTAAAATATGGCACAATATAGTTTTAAATTAAATGTTTTAGACTTATGGATAAACTACCAATTTGTTGTATGCCCAATAAAGAAAGTATAAAACGTGTGCATATTTTTACAAAAATTTTGCATATTTTCGTAAAATTAAATAATATTTTCTTATTTTTTCTGCATAAATATGCACATATTTTGGCCAAATTTCGTGCATAAAAATCCGGACTCTAATAATTACAAAGTAAATGATGTATCAATTTTATTAAGAGGTGTTAAACTCACAATATTTAGCAAGAAGTGAACCAAAAATAAGCTCTCCCCGAACGCCAAATCTTGTTGAATTATTTCGAAAATATTCATTTATCGCTCCTTCGTCAATTGAGAGTTAACGATGTTTTCTTGGATGTTGAAGTGCAGAATATACTGTACAAAATGTTGCTATTTATATTATTTTCAGCATATCACGAAAGGTCGCTGAATATTTGAAGTCCTTGCAAGTACATAAACCATTGTTTTAGAAGAACGTCTGCTACAAGCTAGCAGTGTGAGAGGCGGACATCATAATTTTAAGGAGACACGGTAGTTGAAAGGCAACCAATGTGGCAAAAGGAAAAACTTAGAATTCTTTTGGACATATATACTAGTCCAAAAGGTATAAAGTTATGTGACCATCATAAAAGTAGTTAATCGCAAATAAATACCCCCTTTGTATGGTTGGCACTAAGCTTACCGGTTGGCAATAAATCGTCTTCTAAACATTTCTTGCTTACATTTAACAAGGCCGGCTTTCAAAGCGAGTGGTTATTTCGGAACCCTCAGCGGCTGCAGGTAGTAAAGAAATAGTGGAGTGGTAGATTTACATATTTAGTGAAAGCCGTCCCTGAACGAAACCATAACAGCCGGTTGAGCTGCAGTGGACACGTTATTTAGAACTCTAAAACCTTTTCTGTTGTAAACAACTTAACTTCGACACAATGGGATGATTTTATGATGGCTATATAACCTTATAGTTTTTGGTCTACTATACTTCAAATTTGGATGCCAAAACTATACTGACCGGCAAAAAAAACCGGCCACCCTAAAAATTTTACAAAACCACTTTAAAAATTATTAATTTAACTAGTGATCGTTATTTTATTAAAGAATCATTCACTAATGACACATAATGTTACCAATTAGTAAAAAAGAAGACAATTAAACGCAGAATTACATTTAAATTAACAAAATAACACAAACAGACCTAGTAATAGTGTTTTTCATCATTTGGCAATTAATAAACGTTTTCAGGCGAAAATAATTCCCTTTACACTTACAGACGTCTCTCAAACTGTCGCTGTTTCTGTTATTTTGTTAAATTAAATTTAATTCTACATTTATTTGTCTTCTTTTTTTGCTGATTTATACATCATGTGTCAATGGTGAATGGTTCTTTAATAAAATAACGATCACTAGTTAAGTTAATAATTTTTAAAATTTGGTTTTGACAAATTTTTCAGAGTGGCCGGTTTTCTTTGCCGGTCAGTGTATTTGCTCAAAATGAAGAACTGGTCGTAATTATATAGCAGTTCGAAATCAGCTGGAACACAGCTTTTAAAAATGAAGTCAAATGTTACAAATCGATAGAAATATTTAAATACCACAAATTTAAACACCCCAAAAAAAATTAAATCATCATTAAGATAACTGGATGGTAATAGTCAAGTTATAATAGTGGTGTGACGGCACATTTAAATTATGGCAGTCGAACAAGAAAAGACCAAGCTGAAGGAAAACGAAGTACGCAGCGCGACGACCCATAGCCAGAGCGGCGCGAAAGGCGTCTTCTCATTTGAGAACAAAAGTTCAAATCCAGTCTGTAAGCAGATGATTAAATCTGTAAGAAAATATTAAAGCCCTTCTGTTTTCTGATGTCGATGAGGTTGCCGAAGGTTCACAACATTTCAGATTAGAAAATCGCCAATTAACTGGTTTTACATTATTGACGCTGATTCAGCACAAAACAACAAGTGACCTTGATGAGTCCACATAGAAAGTAACTAGTAAGTAAGTTCGCTCAAATCTTTATCTGTTCCACTGAATTCCAAGCTCCCTTCTAAACTAAGGGTTTTAAATTCCGCTGCGAGTTAGAGCGCATGGATGATTGCTTATGATACTGAGTGATTTTGCCGTTCAATTTTATAATTTTCAAATGTGGTTTTGCGGTGTTGTTTTCTTTTTAGGGCGAAATTTAATTTTTAAGATCAGGACACTACAGCAGTGAGCCTATCTTGGACATAAAGTAGAAAAATATATTTCGTATAAATTTTAGTATACAGTTAAATGATTTCGAAATAGTGGTACTTCAGAGATTATTTATCTATTAAATTTCAGATAGACAAAGAAATAGACAGACAGCAAATGATGACGGGTGAAAACGGAAAATTTTTAAAGTCATGCGAAATGAAAATGAAATTTTAACAACAACATAAAAACTTCCATCAGGTTAATACTATTTACTATTGTATAACCTTCATTCTTGAGAATCAGCGATGCAAACTTCCAGTCAAAACATATTCTCAACTACTTAAAAAATACGTTTCATAACCGACAATTTGATAACAAATTGCCTGTATACCTACCTAGTAAAATAAATTCATTTATCTCTCGATGCTCCCTATCTAATCTACTCCAAACAAAATTCGTCATAAAAATCAGCTAATGTTATTAATTCCAAACAAACTGTACAGTGTGTGCCCACACAAAAATACAAATTCTAATAATAGCTTCTGGTTTAGAAACCGCAGGATCTGTGTTGGTTCACTACCAAGGCCAAGGCTGTCGCTTCATTATTCATTGTGAGTTTGCCTCTGCATAAAGCCACAAAAATGGTGCTTTCGCTAGACCGCTGGGTCGGAAAAGTCGCGGTAGTGACAGGTGCAAGTTCTGGAATAGGTGCTGCTATTGCACAGTTCCTCGTAGACAAAGGATTAATAGTAAGTACTCCACCACTAATTTACGAAAAAAGCTATACTTCTTCAGGTCGCTGGTTTAGCTCGTCGTTCCGAACTCGTCGACGCAAAAGCCAAAGAGCTTTCTGGCAAAACAGGAAAACTGTATGCTATCAAAACTGACCTCGCAAAAGAAGAAGATATTCTGAATGCGTTCAAGTGGATTGAAGAAAATTTGGGCCATGTTCATATCCTTATCAACAATGCTGGTCTTTTTAAAGACAATTTGTTGAGAAATGGAGATGCAGCGATCTGGAAACAAACTTTCGATGTAAATGTTTTGGGGTTGTGCATTGCAACTCGAGAGGCTATTAAGATAATGTCTGCTAATAACATCAACGGCCATATTATTCATATCAACAGTGTAGTAGGTCATAAAGTGCTGCCTTTTCCAGGAATTAATGTTTATCCTGCGAGTAAACACGCAGTGACTGCTCTAACTGAGACTCTGAGGCATGAACTGAACGCTGTGAACTCTAAAATTAAAACAACGGTAACTTTTGATTACTTAGTTTTTTTTTATTTGTGACACTTTTAATTGTAGAGTATTAGTCCTGGGTTAACCGATAGTGAAATGACAACTTTGAATACCGAGCTTAGTCAAGAGCGTCAAAACTTATTTAAATCTTTGCCAGCACTAAAGGGAGAAGACGTTGCGGAAGCTGTAGGATACGTATTATCTACTTCTGAAAATGTTCAGGTATTGGGCTGTAAATTATTATAAGTATTATATGTTGAAATCTTTGAGTTGCAGATTAATGAATTGACTATCACACCTGTTGGAGAGTAATTTTATATAGTTGGATTCATGTATCTTTTGACACACGTGACCGAAGTATCATACAACCTCAGACCGTACCTATCATAAGAATCTTTGTTTTAAGGATTACAAAAACGAAGAGCCAGACAAATAGTATGTCTACCGAAATTAGGCCAAATTACTCTCTACGTCCGTTATTCTCTTCCACAAAGTTCCTTGAATTAGAAAAAGATAAAATACGTAATAAATGCGTCCGCATAGTGCGACAGGCACTGATGTAGTCAATTTAGTGACTGATAATAATTCATCGATTTTTCATCAAATGTCATTGTCATTTTTGGTTTTACTCAGAGTGGTCAATCGCAGTTTTTCGTTGTTCTATTCAAGTTTTCTATTCAGATCTTCGTAAAGTTCGTTGGTTGTTAGGATTCTTGTTTCGTTGTCCTATTTTTTATGTGTTGTTATCTTATTTCTTGTTCGTGTTTGGTCTACAACATGACGGGCAAACGTTTGAGGTCCCGCGCCCAGGTCGTCGTGTCCAACTTTATAGAGTATTTTGCTCTTGAGAAGGAAAACGGTGGTCCTTTAATCTCATTAAATGGTACAGAACGAGTAAGTAAGTAAAAACCACTTGAAGGTTCGTGGTTAATAATTTCGCTCAAATTTTTAGCGAGTTGCAGATGCTCTAGGCGTTACTCGCCGAACGGTTTCGAAGATTAAAATTCGAAAAGAAACACTCGGCGTCGTTCTCAGTCCGACAAAATCACGACCCAATCGGAAAGCACCGAAACCAAAAGACCTGCCTGAGCTCACAGATTTGTGTCATGTTGACGTTATGAACATTGTCATCTTTTTGACTAATTACTACAAAGTAACAGTTATTAGTTCGGACGTTCGCTTTTGGTCACGTGTGTAAAAAGATACATGAATCCAACTATACGCACTACCAATTTTTTATAACCATTTTTCAATATTTTTCTAACATAATAGACATTTAGAACAACAAAAACATGTTCTTGGAAGAGCAAGCTGGTTTTCTTACCATCTGGTACGGTCAGTGGGGAAACACAAAGAGAGTTTGCGCATCTAACGTCAAGTTGATGGCGTTTTCTTTGAAGTCAGATGAATGGTTAGAATATACTTTTATACATCTGATTTGTCCATTTCATGACGATTTGCATATAAACTTTACCCATTAAAAAATTGATGATGAACCGTTTATTGTGGCACTTCGAAGCTTGTTCGTATTGCGAGAGTCGCTCTCACAGAAAAATTATAAAATTAAATGTTCCCACAACTGTCAAAAAATGACAATTTTAATATAATATCACTAAGGATATGCAAGATATGACTTTCGAGCTATAGTTAAAAACAGTATATAACGATACAATTTTATTGTTAGGCAACGGTTTAAATGACACATTTTGCGATTCAGAATATGCAATTTATTTCAAAAACCAGAATTATTGCGAACTAATTTCTATTAACATTAAAAATAATCGGAACACTGAAATAGTTATTGTCAATTTGAACCATTGGTCCACCAGACACTATTCTTAAATTTTCCTCAATATTTTCTTCTATCATTTTTTTTTCATATCTTGGTCTCTTCCGAGCAGAATCTCCGGTAGATGCAAAATTTTTCTGAATATTTTCTATTCCAAAGTTTTCCACAACTTGGTCTCCATTCCGAGTAGAATCTCCGGCAGATGTAAAGGATTGGCTATCAAGGGTTTTGTTGGACACCTTGATTTTGTTATTTATACTGTAGTTAAGTGAAGCAAAATGTTGCGGCCTCGGTGGGAGTCGAACCACACGCCCCCCGCTTGCCCTGACCACTAAACCACGAGGCTGCTTATTTTTCTTCGCTTACTGCTACTTATTATTGTGTCGCCACAATACTATCTTCAATGTACCCCTTTGCTACGGTACTAGATATTCATCCCTCGTAACTGTTGATAGAAATTAGATCTCCTCCTCCATTTGCCAAATAAGTGGCAGAACTCCTTGTGAAGCAGTGGCCGGTGTATCTTTTAACATTTTTTTTCGTAGCCCCTTTGCAATTAGACTCGATGTTTCTTCTATTTTATTAATGCCTACATGTTGATTGAAACATTTGCCATTACTGTATTTACAGAATAAACGTCAATTTGAGGCATGGGGCGGCCGCATAGCTCTATATTTTTGATATACAGTGAAACCTCCTCTAAAGGACACATCCCAACAGCAGACATCTCTTCACAGCGCACAATTTTCACTGTCCCAACGTATAAAATAGGGCTCTTAATGTAAACAATCCTCCAAACAACGGACATTCCCAACACGGACAGTAAAATTGCCTCTTCACAACGGACGACGAACGTAAGAGTAGCAGGGGCGACGCCAGCATCTATCTCCTTCGCACTCCAGCAGGACCGCGCGCTGTGTCGCTGGGGGGGGGAGTACTGTGGCAGCACAATAATACGTAGTAGTAAGCGAGGAAAGATAAGCTCCTCCGTAGTGGTTAGGGCACCCGCCCGGCAAGCGGTAAACGTGCGGTTCGATTCCCACCGGAAAAGCAACATTTTTCCTTGCTTACCTACAATATAACAGCAATATGAATGTACCCTCCGGATTTGAAAAAATAAGGCAGGTGACGTCAAAATTATTTGATTTATCAAAAAACTAAGTGGACCAGTTTTCTATGATTGCGATCGTACTTATTAAAGATTTTATGTTTTTTGCTTTCAGTATCTTAATAATATTTTCAAATGTGCAGAATAATGATTAAATAATTAAGGTACGGAAGAAATGTTAAAAACAAAATTATTCTTAGTCCGGTCCTTCGCGTCTCGGCCGTCCCTGGCACGTGGCGTGGTTTACATTTACTAAGTTTTATGAAAGGTCGGCTGTAAAGTACTTTAAACGTCAAAGCCATAAACGCCTTAAATGTTTGAGTCCAGTCTACCACTCTCAACTTATGCAGATGTACTCCTATAATGCACTGATAAGCATTAGAGTAGTTTCCATTAAGATAAAGTAGATGTCTACTTATCATAGGGATTTGGTTAATCAAGTTTTTGAACTATTGTGAAGATTTATTTATAGATAACCAAAAATTAACTAAATTTATTTATTTTTTGCCAATTCATCCACTCCAGATAGTTGTCGTTCTAGTGAAAAATGACCAACAATGATTTATAATAGAGTGTATAAATCTAAAGTGAAAAATATATATTTTTCCTTCGAAAAGTTGATGAATTTTTCTCAAGAAAATTCAAAGTAAATCTTTCAAAAAGTTAGGTTTAATATTAATGCGGTGTTTGTTGTCCCTCAGACAAAAACAATTCTGTGAATTATATATACTTAGTTTTCTCTTTAAAGACAGTTAGAATAAGTGATTTTATCAAATTTAAATAGCGTTTACCATGCAAAATTTTGAGATGACGTCATCAAGCGGTTAGTGGGGATTAAATCAGATCAATTTTAGTTAGCCTTTTACCATCTACATGGTCCTCCTAAAATATGTATCGAATTTCACAGACACACTGGAACGAAACGTGTAGACAACATGAAAGTAGCCATTCGACAGACGGATCCTATTACAATTTTTCAAGCTCTTTTTTTACAGGACTAATATTTATGAAATATCAAATTTACCGCTTTAAAAGTCGCTGTTTCAGATGCAAAGACATTGGATTTAAATATGTGAAAACTTTCTTATACTTGTACTAGACATCGATATGTCACAAAATATTTCACCTTAGAATTTACAGTTTGCTCTAAATTCATTACATTGCAATTTAATTAGAAGGAACTAGCTGCTTGTGAGAAACAATCAGGGACACCTAGATACTCCAAAAACACTGAATGCTATTAAACATAATTTTATTATTCTTGCCGACAAAAGCATTATAAGTATGCATGCAAAACAAATTAAAATTGCATTAATCATTATTCTGCTAAACGAACATATGACGTGTTCTGTTCACGCTATAATCGTACGGATAATGTGTTATCTTAGCGTCTATTTTTTAATCGTTATCAATCCGTAGTTGCTTCATTGTTTGTTTTTTTTTTTTTTTTAATTTTATCAGACACAGCAGAAAAACTGGTTTAATTCATTTTTGTGACGGAACGATGTATCCTTGTAATAAATTGTCATCTCCTACCCGTGCCAGCAGAGTTTATTATCTAATTTAGTAATTACCAGTCGCCTCAGTTCATCACACACTACCACGCGCAGAATCTGAACGAAAAAAACAGTCTCTCTCGCTACATGAAACAATTACCATCAGGTGATATTGTGGTATCATGAATCAACAATGACACAACATAAATAAACGAAATAAATAGTGGGTTTTAGCGCGGAACACGCAGTAAGTATGTACTAGAAGTACAGTGTAAAGCAAAATGTGGATAACTAGTTCAATTACTGGTGACTTGATCACCCTACTTATTACCCTATCGGTTATTCTGATTGGTTACTGCAAATGGACCTACCAGTACTGGTGACGAAGAAATCTACCATACCTGGAACCCAGCATACCTTTTGGTAACCTTGGTAACCCCCGTGGGTCCAGAAAACACATAGGAGAACGACTCGAACGTGTGTATAACGTCATGAAAGATAAAGGCTGGAAACATGGAGGAATGTACGGGATGCTGTCACCTATCTACGTCCCAATGGACTTAGATCTAATTAAGAACATCATGACTAAAGACTTCCAGTATTTTCCAGACCGTGGGATTTACCATAACGAGAAAGGAGATCCTCTGTCGGCCCATTTGGTGAACATAGCTGGCGTTAAATGGAGAAATTTACGAACAAAACTTACCCCCACTTTCACGTCTGGAAAGATGAAGAGCATGTTCCAAACTCTCGTCGATTGTGAAGTTCACCTACACAAAAAAATCCAAACAGAGTGCCAAAGAAAAGCAGCTGTTGACATTAAAGAAGTTCTTGGATGTTTCACTACTGATATAATAGGGTCTTGTGCATTTGGTCTTGAATGTAACACTTTTGAAGAGGAGAATTCACCTTTTAGAATTTACGGACGTAGTTTTTGATCGATCGACTGAACTACAAGTAAAAAGAACTTTTGTTAATACTTTCCCTAATTTGTCGCACTTGTTTAACATCGCTTTAGTACCACGTGATATACATAACTTTTTCATGAAGCTGGTTAAAGATACGGTTAATTATAGAGAAAAGAACAAGGTCAACAGAAAAGATTTCATGCAGATGCTTATCGATATGAAGAATAATAAGTTAGCGGAGGAAGAAGGGTACAAACACGATGGTACTACTCTATCAATGGACGAAATAGCAGCTCAAAGTTTTGTTTTCTTTATTGCTGGGTTTGAAACATCATCGACTACCATGACTTTCGCTCTGTATGAATTGGCTAAACACCAAGACGTTCAAGAGAAGCTTAGAAATGAAATTAGGTCAGTTTTGGCCAAGCACGATGGGAAAATTACGTATGATGCTATCCAAGAAATGAAATACATGAATCAAGTGATTGATGGTACGATTATCAGTATCAAAACAAACATATAGCTAATATTTTTGTTATAGAGGCGCTAAGAATGTATCCACCGGTACCTCTTCTACCGAGAAAATGTATCAAGGACTACAGAGTTCCAGACACTGACGTTATCATAGAGAAGGGTACGATGGTTTTGATTTCAGTATTGGGAATTCACCACGACGCCGAGTATTATCCTAATCCTGAAATATTCGATCCTGAGCGTTTCAGCGAAGAAAATAAAAGTGCGAGACACGGTTAAGCACATCTCCCGTTTGGTGAAGGTCCTAGAAATTGCATAGGTAGGACATGCTTTTCCTGTCAATTTATTTTAACGTGTTATTTTGTAGGAATGCGTTTTGGGCTGATGCAGTCCAAAGTCGGGCTTACTTCGTTACTTAGAAATTTCAGGCTTACTTTGAATGAGAAAACTCAGGAACCTTTGAAAATGAAGACTAATTCTTTAGTGCTTGCGGCCAAAGGAGAGATCTGGTTAAATGTTCACAAAGTTTGAATTATATTTATTATAAAGTAATATCGCCACAGGAAAAAAATTAGTAAATAAATAACAACCGTCATTTTTGCATTTTTGTCTCCAAGATTTTGCAATGGAAATATTTGGGACGAGGTTTCTTTGTTCTTCAGCTTGCAGTATGCTTTTTGTCCTATCACGGCCACGACCGTGAGTTTGAGGTTGAAGCTAC